AGAGAGTTACAAGTGACAGACCCACTGGGATACATGCATTTGGGAACATTAACTCATTATTTTTATCATATTCCAAGTTTCGAGGAAACACGAATGTACATAAAAATAAATGAACCTCGACTGGTCCTAAAACTTGATATTTACCTGCAACAACCTCACATCCCTGGAAGACAATCTCTCATTCGATCAGAAATCTGCGTTAGTTTCATGCTGGTTTGACCCACTGAGTATATATAATTCATGATACCGGGAACAGATTATATGATAACTGGTCTCTCTTCTAGAGCTTTGTAACATCGCTTGTTGCACGCTATAATCAGTTTAAACTATTGTTTTCATGAAAACTTTTAAGGCTGGCCGGAGGCATGAGAAGTTTTACTTAATTGGTTGAAGCAAGATGTTCTCTACAAATTATACCCCTTTGGATATGTATTATTAAAAAAGCTGTCTTTATTTGTATGTGGCAGTTACCAATGAATGCCATTGGGTTGTTACGAGTTGATACTAACAGATTTTTTGGTTATCACAGCATTTAAAAACTCAGGACTGCACGCTCTCATTATTCCCAGGAACTGAGATAATACCTATTTTTTTGATGACTTAATTACAAATTAAATTACGACTATACCTTTATGGGCTTCCTATATATATACAGGACGGAATCCTGACGTGAGCGTTTAGGACTGAGGTACTGAAAGGACTGGAACCAATCTAGTTTACTTAACTGACAGCGCGCTCTTTGGTCTGGAAACCTCTGGTGTAATGAAACAACCTTGACGTTGACTTGTATATACCCTGGACAGTGGTTATGGTGGTGGATATAAGAGGTTGGAGAGCGAAAGAGTAAAGAGGTGGTGGGACCAGAGTGGTGTCCTTGTTGGTGTGTGAAGGTGAACAAGCAGTGGTAAAGCTGTTCACAGCCCTCCCTCTATCCCTCCCTCCCTACCTACCTTCCTTCCGCCCTCCCTCCCTCTTTCCTTTCCATCCTTCCCTTCCCCGTCTCCTCTCTTCTTCCCTCCGCTCCTCGCTTTGCTCCCCTCCTTTTCATTCTCTTGCGTACAATACAATGTTGTATTGTACTACAGTATATTGTTGTGTGACCTGGGTTGGTCCATCACCTTTCACCTCTTCGCTGGTCGCTACTGCGTTCGTGTGTGTACTCAATGAGTTGTGTTTGCAGGGGCCGAGACTTAGCTAGTGACCCCACCTTCTTGACTTCTTTGATCAACATCACTGTCGTATGGCCTTCAGGCCTTATCGTATCTACTCTTGAAGCTGTGTAGTGTAATACACCACCCCACATTGCAAACTGTCTTGAAAATATAAGTTCAGGATCCTACTCTGTTTTCGTAAGCTCCCGTGAGCTTAAAGTAACTTTACATTTCAAAGAGATCTTATGTTCATTGTGCAGTGTGGTGACCAATAGTGAGAAATGTAATGCAAGTTCTCAATAATGACATGGTGCCAGGTTTCCTCTCAGTAAGGACAAGGGGAAGGTATTTTCCATTTGGGTGTTGGCCGAGTGTCTAGTAGTGAGTCACTCAGGTATGAATGAGGGCGACCTGTTTCTTGCAGGAGCAAGACTGAGCTACGGTACACAACAAGGGCTACAACTCCCCTTCTAACCCCTTCATCGTTCCGCCTTTTTCTTATTCCACCTCTTCTTATTCTCCTCTTCACCCTTATCTTCTTCCTTCTCTTTTTCCCTCTGACTTTTCACATTCCCTCTCTCCCTATGTCTCTCATTTCTCTTTTTCACTCTTCTCCCCTTCTTTCACCAACGTCTTTTTCCTCTTCTCATTCACCCCCTCTCCCATCTCCTTTCTTCCCTCCTTAACTTTTTCTCCTCCTCCTCCTCCTCCTCCTCCTCCTCATAATCAACATATCACCAAGATTCCCATCATTATATGCTCGTTGTCAAGAACACTCATAGCTGCAATGATCCTTCCCTCTCGCTCCCCATCTCTCTCTTCTACTTGTTTTCTTCCTCCCTATCCACCCGTCATTCACCTTGATCCTTTAAGAGAGATGGATATGGAGAGGGAGGGAGAGAGAGAGAGAGAGAGAGGAGAGAGAGAGAGAGAGAGAGAGAGAGTAACGGTAGCGGCACTTGTGGTAATGACGTAAGTCAGTGTTGCAGAACCACAGCACCACCAGAAAGACCAGATTTCCTCCTCCCTCTGCTCCCTCTCCTCCCTACCCTCTCTTTCCCCCTTCCCCCTACCTCCTTTCCCCTCTCTCCTCCCTACCTTCCTTTCCCCTCCTTCCCCGTCTACATCTTCACTTCGAAGTTTCCTGCACCTGCCTCCGCTTCTGCACAGCCTCGTTGTTGTAACTGGCTGTTAAGATTTGAGAAAATAGTTCATTTGGTGATCAAGGTGACTCTGCATAGTGTTCTCTGCTTTGTATACATACAAGAGAGTTTTTTTAAAAGATTCCTTCATCAAAATGATCAACAAACACTGAGAGAAGTGGCTGACTGACCATATATGACTGCAGAAATCGCAGTAACACGATGGCAAGCAAATCACATAACGGGTGGGATTCAAACTCATGGCAGGCCAGTTCTTAGAACTTGTCTGCCATGGCTTCGAGTGTTACCCGTTCTGTGAACTGACCATGTATGTGTGTGTGTAAAGGTTGGTATGTTTAGGAATGAAAAGTAGGGGCAGATCACCACCTCGGTCATTTGTATGTAAGACTACAATAGGAGAATGTCACATAAGCTTGACAATTTAGTTTAAGTGATAGAAGAAGACAGTACTGTAACTGAAGTATCTAACCTTCTGCAGGCAGTAAAATACTGGATATCTACCCAGAGAACCTGTAACAGCAATTTTACGATAGGTAACAGGATCCAGACTCTAAGCGGATCACACCTCCAGAAACATGATTCAAATCCCCCGAGAGAAGCTGACATCATACTCGAATTTAATACTCTTGTGAGGCATCAAAAGACGGAATTCTGATGTTGTAATAGGAAGAGGAAGAGGATCTTTCTTCCAAGGCGAAGATGAAGAATGTATGAGACAAATTAACGGGATAATTTCGAGGGATTACTTTCATGACCCACCTGGGTACAAATGATTGAAAGCAGAGTATATACAGATACACTGATCAGTTACAAGGCAATTAAAAGGTAAGAGAAGGAGGCTTGTTATCACAGGTCTGATACTGTGACATGATGTAGACTCTTACATGACCTCGTGAATACTGTATATCAGAGACTACAAACCGTAAATGACAAGGATGACAAATTCGAGTGTTTAGATTTGGAAGATAACTTTAACAGGGATAAAGTCTGTACAAGAGACGAGCACAGACTTGTGGTGTGCATACATCTGTGTTTAGTCTCACATGTAAGTGTTCATGTTTCCAGTGTTTGTTTCACTTACTATTTTTTGCATTTAATTTTAAGTTTATTTGTAAAAATTGTTTGTCTTCTATCCTTTTTTTTCGTTTTTTAAGGTTTACATTTCTAATATATTATTCTTGTTGGATTTGCTAAAAAGTTTTGTATAATTTATCATTTAATTTTATGAACTTAAATTTCTCGTATCAGTCACTGAGAACATTTATAATGGCTTCAACGTTATTTATTGCTTGTATTCCTCACCTCTGGCAGTCATTTTCTAACGCGACATTGGACTTTTTTCATACATGTTTTTGTCATTATGGACGCTGCACTAAGCTCTACATATTTCACTTTTCTTACCAATGCCATAAACTTTCATTCCGCCATTTTACCATCCATATAGTATCTATCTTACGGTTATTATGAAGTGTACTGGAGCAGCATGTGAGCTTCTCACTACGGCATTAATATCATCTTCTGGCGACAATGTTTTCTTTATAATTCCTCTCAGCTCCCTCTTTCTCTCCCACACTTTGAACTCTTTCACACAATCTTTATTCTTCGTGTTTGCCTGTTTTTCCTATGTACCATTGAGTGGCAATTGCTAACATTAGATTTCATCATCCTTCTATCATTTCTCTTATTAAATCTATCAAAGACTTTTTGCAGCAGAGATTTACATTTAGATTTCTTATTTTACATATATTTGCATCATCAGCAAACATTTATGTAATTTTTATTCTGTCAAATCATTTAAATAAATTTAAAACGTTACCAGGTCAAGCACTGATCCTTGAGGGATCCCGATGGGGAAATTTTCCCAAGAGAAAAGTTCTCCTCTTATCAGCTTTTGTATATTTATTTAAAACAAAAGCTGTCCTAGTCATTGTAATTACAATTAATTCCTCATTGTTTTACTATTTTCAGAATAGTGTTTCATATGGTCCTCAAGAGAGAGAGAGAGAGAGAGAGAGAGAGAGAGAGAGAGAGAGAGAGAGAGAGAGAGAGAGAGAGAGAGAGAGAGAGAGAGAGAGAGAAAGAGAGAGAGAGAAGAGAAAGAGAGAGAGAGAGAAGAGAAAGAGAGAGAGAAGAGAGACAGAGAGAGAAGAGAAAGACAGAGAGAGAAGAGAAAGACAGAGAGAGAAGAGACAGAGAGAGAGAAGAGACAGAGAGAGACAGGAGAGGAGAGTATTTGTTCTGGTTGTAGTGTTTGTTCTTCTGTATTTAGCTGCGGTATTAAAGACAAGCAATGCTTCGCCTCAAGGGCACAGGAAGACAACAGGTTTCCTCTCCCATCTTCAGTACATCACATAATTACCACAGAGAAACACTATACTAAATGACTGGTGCTGCTGAAATATTCTTGACTCAAGGAATTAGAGCTACCCGTTTCATTCTAGGATCACTTGATCCGAAAAAGGGGAACTGTATAAAGTTGACGAGTTTAAACATTTCCATCTCTCAGACATCATTCGACTGAAGGTTTACAATATCAACATTGATGAGTAAGACACATGTCCAATACTTGTATTAGATTGAGAAAAAAAAACTTGTTGTGGAGGTGAAAGGTCTCCTCAGTTTAGATACTCAGATGTTGCACATGCGCCTTATTCATTAGCATCCATGAGAAAGTGATGACACTAACCTTAACAAGAGCAGCATAGTTCTCTCTGTCCTCAGGTGTGGAACCATCCCTAGATGCTGGGTACTCCCAGTCCAAGTCGAGGCCATCGAAGTTGTACCGTCTGAGGTGCTTGATGGCAGAGATGATGAAAGTTCTGCGGTACTCTGGTAGGGACACCAGTTCGCTGAACCTGCCCGAACCTTCATTCCAACCACCAATAGCAAGCAGCGTCTTCAGTCCCTTGTTGTACTGTTTCAGCCCGTTGAACTTAGCGTAGCCTCCTGCCAGGATGAGAATGGGGAGTGAGAGGAGAGTGGAGTGACAGGAAGAGTGTAACGAGAGGGAAATAATTAAGTTTTGCTACCTGAGGAGAAGGTTTGTGAATTTACAGCTCATCGTGTAAGAGGAAGAGCAAGCGTGGAATCATAGATGTCTTCATCAGAATCATTACTTAGATCATAATCTGAACCTATAGTTACTTATGATGTAGATGTTGCAGAAAGTGCATACAGTCTCAAGACATCGGATTTTATTAATAACGGAGACACTGGGTACCTTGTTCAATATCTTGGTAGGAGTCGAAGGGTTTGATCTCAAACTCGTCGGTAAGTCCTCCAAATGCGTAGACAAGATGTGTACACAGGTACGGGTTGATGTTCTGAGGTGTGTACTTGGCCTCTCCCTTACGGTACACGGACCAGTTCGTATAGTAGCAGACCACCTTCTTAGATGTGTCCGCTGTGGTTTGGCGCTTCTCCAGTTGGTCTGTGGGAGAGAGAGTGTGAAAAATGGACCAGATGGTCTGAAGGTGAGGAACGGAGATAAAAGGGAAATGAGGAACGGGGGAGAGTAGTCACAACAAACTACAGGTTGAAAGACAAACACCTTGACTGGAAATACTAATTCACGTAGCCAAAAAATACAATTTTATGCTTAAGAAGACCCATCATCCCAGTCTTTTTCTTCCTTAACTCTCTACCTCGCTAAATTACTCTCGTCTTTCTTCTGTCTCTCCCTACATCGCCGTCTATCTTCCTTCTTTTTGTATAACATCTCCAGAACACCAGTTCCCTCTCTTCCTTAAGTCCCTTTCTCACTGACTCCCTACATAGTTCTCTCCCTTCTTCACTAGATCACCCTTTCCATTACTCTCTTCCTCCTAAATCATTATCTCTCACTCGCACCTTTTCCGTGCCCACTGACGTGCCCACGGGCATCACCGTGGGCACGTCACTGGGTTTTCCCGGGAAGTTGAGAGGAAAAATGTAAGAGATTTAGTTATCGTCCTGTCAGGAGTCAGAACGGTAAGTCGAGAAATGGGTTATTTTCATGGGGAAGCGCTAAAGCCGTGGGTGGGGGTTTACAGTTCCTGGGAATGAGTGGGTAACTACGTTTGATATAAATAAGAGGAAGGTAATTCACTGGATCAAGAGCCCTTCGCCAGCATCGAGATGGCAGCATTGACGGATCCAAATAGGTAAAATATAGTTGATCAGCACATTAATGAAGGGCTCGTAAACGGAAAAAAAGGTTACTGAAAGATCTACGAGGAGGCCTACATAAAAGTCGAGAAATCTGTAAATACCAGACATAGGGTCCACGAGTAACTGTACCGTGGCTGGAACAATTAATAACTAATCCACAAGTACCAATATCGCGTCAGGAAAAATCACAATTAATCTACAAACAATTCACAGCTAATCCACAAATCGCAATATCTTGGCAGGAACAATTCAAAACTAACCCCAAGTCGCAATATTGCGGCAGCAGCATTTCACAACTAATCCACAAGTCGCAGTACCGTGGTAAGAGCACTTCATAACTAACCCACAATACCATGGTCATAACTGTTTACAACTAGCTCACAAATTGAAGATAAAAACTAGAGATTTGGTCTGACAGTTGGACAGAAAACATGTCTACTTGTCTCCAATTTGCGTGTTAGTTGTGAGTCCCCAGAGGAGGATTGTGTGGTATTTCCTGAAGCCCTAAGTCTGTTAATCTCTAGATCCCAGGAATGTGTGTATGTGTATAGTGTATGTGTGTGTGTGTGTGTGTGTGTGTGTGTGTGTGTGTGTGTGTGTGTGTGTGTGTGTGTGTGTGTACTCACCTAGTTGAGGTTGCGGGGGTCGAGTCGAGCTCCTGTGTGTGTGTGTGTGTGTGTGTGTTTGTGTGTGTTTGTGTGTGTGTGTGTGTGTGTGTGTGTGTGTGTGTGTGTGTGTGTTGTGTGTGTGTGTGTGTGTGTGTGTGTGTGTGTGTGAGTGTGCGAGAGAGAGAGAGAGAGAGAGAGAGAGAGAGAGAGAGAGAGAGAGAGAGAGAGAGAGAGAGAGAGAGAGAGAGAGAGAAGGAGACAGAGAGACAGACAGAGAATATTGCGGCAACGAAATAGAGAATAAATGAATATAAAGACCAGAAGGAAAGGAGGAGAAAGAGGAGTGGAAACTCGATGAGGTTAAAGAAGAGGAAGATGGCGAGGAGGAGGAGGAAAGAGAAGAAGAAGGAGAGGGGGGAAAATAGGCGAAGGTCAAGTAAATGAAGGAGAAAGTGTGAGAATAAAAGAAACAGAAAATATGTGATAAGTTGTGCGACTGCCACGTGTAACCGGAAGTGCTACGTTATTAATTATAAGTCACCTAAACACCAGGTATAAGACCTGAACATTAGGTGTTACCAGGTACAAGTCACCTGAATGTCAGGTGTTACCAGATACAAGTCACCTAAACACCAGGTGTTTCCAGGTACAAGTCACCAAAACACCAGGTGTTATCAGGTACAAGTCACCTAAACACCAGGTGTTACCAGGTACAAGTCACCTAAACACCAGGCGTTACCAGGTACAAGTCACCTAAACACCAGGCGTTACCAGGTAAAAGTCACCTAAACACCAGGTGTTACCAGGTACAAGTCACCTAAACACCAGGTGTTACCAGGTACAAGTCACCTAAACACCAGGTATCACCAGGTACAAGTCACCTTAACATCAGAGTGAAGAGGGTTGACATTAATGCCAGAGGGTTTAAAGCAAACTCCGATTGTATATACACAGAGAGAAATTCATCTCTCAATGTATATATCTCGCAATGACATCTCTTCAGTTTTCCTCCGCAGGAGTCACACCAGTCATTATAATGGTAGAATTTAAATACGTGAATTAATAATCTGAATGCAAAAGGGCATTGTACATGGAAGTATATACAAGTATAACCACTCACGCCTTTTCAGAACTGAAAGTAAAGTGACAGAATTATATGTGGAATGTGGACACAACAATGAGAACTATCAACAGGGAAACAATGAAGTGTAGAAATATTTCGCACACGTAAAGTAGTGACCATTTGCAAGAGAATACTTACACCAGTTTTGGAATATTTGTGTTTGAACTAAGAGCAATATTATATATATATATATATATATATATATATATATATATATATATATATATATATATATATATATATATATATATATAATATATAGGGAGGTACCACCTCTAGAACTGTCCTGGGGACCCTCATCCTCAGAGAAAAAAATAAACTTGCTTCAGGGAAAACTCAAGATTCTCCCTGAAGCTGTTTGAGAATTTTCTCCTACCACCCCCTATATTATGTATATATATTTTATTTAAAGACAAAATACATTGACGAAACATTCACAAAAATATGATACAAAGTAAAACAACATAGGTAACTCAGAGCTACATCTCGAATACTTCGTCCAGCTCCCCTGCGGTGGGCCGCGTGCCCAGAATGCTGCAGGCATTTCCTCTCTGGATCGCAACACTGAGTCTCTGAAAGAGGAAGCTGGTCGCCCTGTGGTCCTTGGTTTCTATGATGAGCTTTTCACCCAGCTCTTTGAGGAACTTTAGAGCACACTTGCCCCATGCTCCAAGGGTCTCCGACCCTATTGGAATGAAGTTATAGCAAGGGGGAAGGTCTTCATATTTTCGGATCTTCTGGGTCTCCCTGTGGCTGGCAGCTCCACCCCCTTCCACTACAGAGTATGGCAAGTAGGTGTCTGCCAATGTGGCAGCACAGGTGTAGTCCCAGGCAATCTGCTTTCCATCCTTCTAGGGTAGCATAGTGGCTCCATCGGGACGCTTTTGACTTCCATCAGACCTCTGTACTTGGGGTTCCCGTTGAGCTGGGCAACGGGCTGTGGCGAGGCTTCTCTTTATTACGTCATTGATCTCCTCATGTCTGGCATACTTCCCTTCTGCTGTGTGACACACGAGACCATGGAGTCCGAATTGATCAGCTGTCGCCCTGCCGCAAATACACCTATGTTCGGTGAGGATGGGGGCGGCTAGGCGAAGAGCAACACCAATCCGAATGGGCTGTGGGTCGAGACGGGTGCCCAGGGAGGAATTAGGAACAGCTAACAGGAAATCTCCTGAGTGTGGTGCCTTCACTGCCAGGAGACGAGCTTTGTTCTTTCCTGAAGCATATATATATATATATATATATATATATATATATATATATATATATATATATATATTATATATATATATATATATATATATATATATATATATAGCTGAGAGACAGCACACTCGTATATCATCCTGATGTCATCCCAAGGTACACTGAGGTACATAGAGGTGACACACACACGTGTGCCAAATACCAACATCAACAGTTCAGAGGCTCAGCCCAACACTAGTCAGACACGGGAGCTAGACCCGTGAAAGCTGAGCTTACACGGGTCCGACTACCACTGTAATATATAAATTCGTATAGGCTTTATGCTGAAAGTAATATAAAAAATAAAATAAAAAAAATTAATGTAATGAAACTATTAACTTCAGATTTCCAAAATTTTCTTGAAACACAAGTTATTATAACGAGCCGTGACCCATCTAAAATGTTCACGTGGCTGTCTTCTGGGTCATGGTCCTTGTTGAGAACCGCTGGCCTAGAAGAATAAGTCACGATACTCTCTGCAATAATTCACAACCTACAATTTGAAGAGAAAACTCCACTCGACGTTCCGGAATGTCTAGTAACATTATTTAATATTACCGTATTCGTAGATGAAGCGCTAAACCGCCGGGACCATACAGTGCCTGGGGAACGGAGGGGAGGACAATCAGGTTTGATCCAAGGAACTGATGAGTAACTACAACTCTCATCAACAGCATCAAGGCATCCTTCTTGAACGACGATCAGATGGGTAAGATAGTTACTAATGTTGTTAATTAATACGTTGTACACTGCTGCCTTACATGTTGGCAATACCCACACGTGTGGGCAGCCCTCTTGGTATCGTCACTTTCACCGTCACTTTCGCTACGTGTAGCGGCGTTCCCAGAGCTTGCATAAATGGGGAGAAATTAGAATGGGTAACTGGACCCGTTACTAGTGGCGTTCCATGGGGGTCAGTGTTGGGGCTCTTCTTGCGGGTCAGTGTTGGGGCTCTTCTTGCGGGTCAGTGTTGGGGCTCTTCTTGCGGGTCAGTGTTGAGGCTCTTCTTGTTACATAATTTACTGTCATAAAAATAAACCAATAAATCATTTCTGTCGGAGCACCAGGAAGATTCAAGATGATTTAAGTCTGAGATGCTCTGGCCGGCAGCTGCAGCTCAATGTGGATAAATGTAGGGAACGAATGATGGAGGAGTATTAATGAGAAGGATCAAAATAAAAGATGAAGGAGAGAGGCTCCAGAGAGACCTGCTCAACCTGCCGACACTGTACAACAAGTTGATACTGGAGTTGAAGAAATGTGAGGTAAAGTGAAGTGAGAAGGTAAGAGAAGACCCGAGAC